TTTAGTGATTTTTATGATATTCTTTTAGTACCTTTATGTTGTTCTTTTGGTACTTCTTATGTTATTCTTTTGGTATTTTTTTTTTTGTGTGTATGCTTTTTATGCATTTTTTTGATGATTTTTATATTGTTTTTTTATATTTTTTCTGTTATTTTTTTGATGTTTTTTTGGTGTTTTTTTGTTATTTCTTCAGTATTTTTTCTTAATATTTTTTTAGTAGTTTTTTTATTATTCTTTTGGTGTCTTTTTTATCATTCTTTCAGTATCTTTTTATCATTCTTTCAGTATCTTCTTTTGATGTTTTTTTGGTACTTCTTTTGTTATTTTTTTGACATTTTTTCAGTCTTCTTCTAATATTTTTTCAGTACTTTTTTTATATTCTTTTGGTGCTTTTTTACCATTTTTCAGTACTTCTTTTGATGTTCTTTTGGTGTTTTTTGATACTATTTCAGTATTTTTTAATATTATTTGGATGTTTTTTTGTCATTCTTTCAGTGCTTTTTTTTGATATTCTTTAGATGCTTTTTGTTATTCTTTTGGTATTCTTTGATATTTTTTGGTGTTTTTTTCAATATTCTTTGACATTCTTTTGGTATCTTTTTTCATATATTTTGATACTTTTTTTGATGTTTTTTTATTATTTTTTTATTATTTTTTGATCATTCTTTTGTAAATTAAATAATTTTATATATGATTGTAATTATCCCTTAAACTATCTAGCGGGCAAATTGCTTGCTTAAATTTTTTTTGACCAATTATTGTACAATTTCTCTAAATTTTATTAAGCCGCATCACATAATCCCTTGATTAGAATAAAAGAACACTATGTGCTAGTTGTCATATAATTGTTATTTGGTGAAATTTCCTCAATGACATTCCAAAATCGTTTAAGTATGGTTGATCGTCATGTGATTTTCATATGATCGTGATGATTAAATTTAATAGTAAAAATGATACTTGCACATGACAATTATGAAAGATCTTCATGATCATCACACAGAGGTACCTTTTATAATATAACATTGAAGTTGGCCAAAGATTCTTCACAACCAACTTTACGAAATTGATTTTTTAAAATAATGCAAGATAGATAAGGTGACTCAAAAGCTTGGTTAAAATGACATATTTTACACCCTTCATGCGAATTTATGCCTTTGTTTGGGTCATTTCGAGTATGTCATACTGTGGCTGTTGGATGTAGCATGTGGCTCGAGCTTTTAGAAGTCACTATAATCAATTAAAATCGAAATTTTTATAAAAAAAATTTTTTTATGCTTTAGTTTCATCAAAATATTTAAGTAGGCAAATTTGCTCACTTAAGTAGATAGTTTAAGGGATAATAATAAAATAATTAAAAAAAGTTAAATAAATATAAAATGTACAGTATTTTTTTGATAAGGAGAATATTGAGATGAATGTTAACATAAACATTAAGGTTAATATTGATATGAACATTAAGATGAATATTGATGTAAACATTAAGATCAACATTAATATGAATATTAAGATCAACATTGAGGTAAATATTGATATAAACATTAACATAAATGTTAAGGTCAATGTTAAGATAAATGTTAAAGTAAATGTTAAAGTAAATGTTAAGGTCAATATTGAGATAAATATTAATACAGTCAACTCTTTCTAAGTGCAATTTGTTGGGACCAGACTTTTAGCAACATGCATTTAGAGAACAATTAAGAAAAATTGCATTTATAGAGAATTTATAGAAACCAGATATATACTTGGGCCCAAAGTTAAAGTTGCATTTAGAGAGAAGTTGCACTTAGAGAAGTTGCACTTAGAGAGAGTTGACTGTATAAACATTAAAGTAAACATTAAGATTAATATTAAGATGATATTGATGTGAATATTAAAATAAATATTGATATGAACATTAACATGAACATTAAAGTAAATGTTAAGATCAATGTTGAGGTGAATATTGATATAAATATTGATATGAATATTAAGATCAACACTGAGGTAAATGTTGATGTAAACATTCAAGTAAATATTCATATCAATGTTTATCTCAACATTGACCTTAATATTCATCTTAATGTCCATATTAATGTTTATCTCAACATTGACCTTAATATTAATCTTAATATTCATATCAATATTTATATCAACATTTATCTTAATATTTATATCAATGTTTATCTCAATATTGATCTTAACATTTACCATAACATTTATGTCAACATTCACCTCAACATTAATCTTAACATTTTATCTTAATGTTTATATTAATGTTGATCTTAACATTTATCTTAACATTCACCTCAATATTGACCTTAACATTGATCTTAATATTGATCTTAATGTTCAACTTAACATTTATGTCAATACTGACATGAATGTTAAGATGAACATTAAGGTCAACATTGATATGAACATTAAGATGAACATTAAGGTCAATATTGAGGTGAACATTAAAGTAAATATTAAGATCAATATTAAAATGAACATTGATGTGAATGTTAAGATAAATGTTAAGGTTAATATTGAGATCAGTATTAAGATCAATGTTGAGATAAACATTGATGTGAATATTCATCTTAACATTTATGTCAACATTGAGGTCAATATTGAGGTAAACGTTGATGTCAACGTTAGCCTCAACATTAATTGTATCTTGCAGAAATTAGTGAAGTGGCTTAGTCATGTGCCAGAAAATTTTTTGTAGGTGATCTACAGAGGTTGGGTCTGACTGTATTGTCATGGGCTAAATGTTACATTTTCAAAAATAAGAAGTAATTGTGTCATAAATCTTGTGATTAAAAGGACTAAGCCGCCACAAAGAAACTATAAATGTATGAATATGGTACATGTGACTTGTCAGTCAGACCCAAACTACCCCAGTATTGCCACCAAAAAGTTACTATATATGATTTTAAACAAATCAGATTTCAAGATCAGGTATAATATTATACGATCAGAAAATTTCAAAACAAACGTTTATTTTGTCAAAAATCACCTGTAACTCAAGATTTTGTATAGGAAACTACCTTCTGTGCAATAACAAAAAATTTTCCTTGAGCGATTTTGCTATTAAAATCTCTAAACCCAAACTTTAACAAAGATTCTAACCCAAACCTAAATAAGCTTTAAAGAATTTTATCGAAGATCACGTGATAGTAACTTTTTGGTGGTGATACTGGGGAAGTGGTCAAACTCCCTAAATGCTATCCCCAAGTGCATATCCTATGAAATGCCTTCCTAAATGCATGTCTTCTCTTGGGTCCAACTAATATTACATCTATAGATTTAAATACAATATCTCTCTAAGTACATATATGACTAAATTTTTATATATAGTCCTGTCACATTGCATTTAGGGAGGTCTGACTGTATATGATAATAAGCTGTCTGAATTTTCAGAACTTTGAATATAATCTACTCATGCATCTGTACCTGGCTTTAACAAACTATGTTATTCAACTACATACGTACGTACTTTATTAATAGTGCTTATAATTGAAATAGGTTGTACTAACAAACCGTTCAAAGGCCTGACCCCATTTGATTAATACATGATCTGGGTTTAATTGGGCATATATAATTAGGTAAATTAACTGAGTATACATGTGTTTAAGATCTTGGTTGAATGAAATGTAAAAAAATATACAGCAATGCTTTTATTCTTGCAATGTATTGAAAAGAAAAGTGTAAGGTAAATAGATTATATTGCTGCAGCAAAAGCCTAATATTAAATCTTATGATCGATTTATTTCAAATTATTATTTAAAATCACAAATTTGCAAACCCGGCTCTAATATGGGTTGGTCTTAAAATAACCCAAAACCTAACCCGATTTTTAGTACTACTTATTAGATATAATCATATTGAACCCCTAGTATAACCACCAAAATCAGTTATATAATTGCTGTTTAAAATCTAAGATCTTGTAATCCAGCACATTTTATCATATAATATGATATCGATATATAACGATAAAAACTTTTATTAAGATATTATTATAAAAATTTTATTATAAAAGATATATCTGTATATTGCATAAGATATTATAATGATAAATTTTAAAATTTTAATTACAAAAGATTTTATTGCATAAAAGAAAATGCCAATTTTTATTCAAAATTATTCTGTGAGCTTTGTTATCTAACTTTATATACTATAACATGAAATATTTATAAATTTTAAATTTATTACCAATAGAAAGTATTCTTGTTTCATTTATTCCAGGTTTTGGAAGGTTGTTTGCTTGATTCAAGATTTTTTATATCATTTACCATCTTTTGAATCGGTTTGAAGCTTGATTCAATATTTCAACCATTCTCTTTGCTGTGAAAGGTTATAAGACTTTTCAAGGAGGTCAAGCATCTATATTAATAATACTTTTATTATGTTATCGTATAATTAATTCGATAAAAATAATGAATAAGCTATACCTCATGAAGGCTAATCGATAATTTTTAATTTTGTTCATCATCATTTGATTCATCTTCTGCAATATTATCATTGTCAAAAACAGTTGAATTAATTGTCATCACTAAAGAAAGTTGTCTGTGGTCAGATGATATGCGAATGTTCTTCCATATCACTTTTTCAATTATTGTATAACTTGAATTTCGCTGAACCTTAATTGAAATTTATTAATAATAAATATACATTTTCAAAATACAATATAAATAAATCTATCAAACCTTCCTAAAGAATGTTACTGATGCTAATTTATTTTGTAAATCAACTCTAACAAGAATAGCATCTCTACAATCATAATAGTCCAATTGTGACTCTGTGTTGTGTTGCTTAGAACTATCTAAGATTTTTTTTTCTAGCTCTTGATGGCAATTGCACAATGTCGTACTTTTAGTTTATAAGTTTATTATAAACTACATCTTCAAGATCTTCAGGCTCTATAGATTCTCTTGCATTTCACTCTGCTCTTGAAGTTTCCATTTTTTTCCTTATTTATACGTGTTAAGCATTCAATATGTTTTTTTATTTTCAAATTCATTAATTTGTTTGATTTTTTGACAAAATGAACATTTTTTTGGATTCAATTTGACAGAATAATCGGTTTTCACTAGTTAAATTTTTACGAAATATGGTAAAAAAAGAAAATTTAAACAATCATTGTAACGATACTATATTATAAACAGATATCGTCATAAATGATACTATTGCATTACTTTTCGGAAGATGATTTTAAACAGCGATTACGTAACTGATTTTGGTAGTCATGCTAGATTCGTGTACCAACCCGGTATAGCTAATCCCATTATTAGTAATACTAGGGTTTTAATGCTAAAGCCAGAATATCATACCCTTTTTATTGTATTCACCGCATCTCTCACATTTCCAACAGAGGTACTCCCATACAGATTTTAAAATTATATTGCAAACCCATTTTTCTGATTATCATTTCAAGGTAATTAAAGCTGATAAAATTAGTATCGGTATGTATATGCAAATAAGATAATTATATTAAATTATGCTAGATTTATTTCTAAAATTTATGAGTCATGCAGATTTTTTTTTTATCTTTGCAACCTGTCATAAAGTAATAACTTATCAAACGCAAATGACTAGTTTAACGTAATAACAGGGTCCCTGGTGAATTCTGGTCGCAATCTGTTGAAATGTTTAATGCACGACTGAAATCATCATGATGACTCTGAAGGCGTAGATATCAACAGCCAAATTTCTAGTGCAACATCATAAATAATGCCTTCTGGTGCAGTTTCATCTGCTTTTTTAAAAAATCTTAGACCTAATATATAAGACCGTATGCTATTTTCATCTGTAGAATATTACCTGCCATGAAAATATGCATGAATAAATCCCAGCTTATGAACACATTCTAATTCAAATTGTCAATAGAGATCTTGAAATTTTTTCTTAAAAAAATTATAAAGGCTTTCATTATTTGCATAATGAAATATATCGTGTATTCGTTCCTGTATTTTAAATTATCTATATACTTTTAAGACCTATATATTTTTTAAACCACTACCATTTAATATACATGTAGTTAAATGAAGCATTACTAGAATTTTCCATAGAATAAACACTTTCTTGAGCGAGATAGTATTAAATGAGAAACGGTCTTTTCCACATTCATGAAATACTATATAGTTATTTGGCATGCTGTAACAATTGCATCGTGATCTGTGTGATCACGATTTTATTGTTACACATGACAAATAAGTATACATTATTCGACATTTCATATGATCATGTGAATTTTTTTGCCATAATATTTTTTACATGAAATTACGTAATCAGTTTTGCAAAATATCACAGAAAAAACTTTACATGGTCATATTAACTATCCAATAACAACATTATTGAACA